GCTGAATTGATAGCAACCTAGGCACAAAGATAGCTAAATGCGTGCATTGTTTGATTGACTTTGCAGGACTAAGTCTGGTAGTCTGAGCCTCTATTAGGAGGACAATAATATGTAATGTGGAAAATACGGAGAATTTCCTTCTGTCTTATTTTTGAAATCCAATGTTGTTCTGTTTTGTTTCAATCCAGTTTATTGTTTTCTTTTATTTAATGCTTTTTTGGAATGATTTTATTCTGTTTTGTTTTGTTTGATTTTACCATGTCTGAGGGTATAGACAACTATTGTGAACGTAGCACGGTATATTATGGTAGCCACTGTTGATGATCTATTGTCCTGTTTAGAATTTCTGTACCATTTTTATTGCTTTGTTTTGATTGGCTTTATTCTGTTTTGTATTGATGAGTTCTATTCTCCTTAAAAAGACTTATGAGACAAATCAGTGGCTTCCAGGGATTAGAAAAAGGACAAGAGATTAGTAGTTGGGGTATAAAATTTTAGGGCAGTGAAAAAAATTCATATAATTCAATAACTGTAAATGCACAAAGAATGAATCCTGATAAAAACTGTAGACTTGGATTATAATGACATTTTATAAATGCAGGTTCATCAGTGCACCTAATATACCGCTCTTATGCATGTCATTGTTCTAAAGAATGTTGTGTCTGTATGGGAAAGAACAAAAATAGGAACTCTCTGTAGTTCCTTGTTACTTTTCCTGTGAGAGTAAAACAGTAAACAAATAAATATTTTTAAAAAGTTGTGTATTCTCAGATTTTCTTCTTGGCCTACAATTTATGGATCACAGGGAAGGGATCTGAGCATAGGTTTTGACTTCATTTGGTGTTAGGTTATTCCTTTGGTCCTCACTTGGTCTCCTTAATTTGAGGTCTCCTGGAGTCTGGGCTTTTCCTCTTTCTTAATTCTTAAAGGGCCTACTTTTCCCTAGGGCACAATAGAAGGAAATGAAGATGACTTATCTGGCCATCACTGACCATGATCTCCCATGAGTGACAACTTTGGCAGATAGATTGAAGCCATTGCGTGGAATTTTCTACTGAGGGTCCTAACTCAGGACATTATACCTGACTCATTACAGAGCATAACCTTCTGCTCTCTGCACAGCTTAGGTCACCAAACTCACACCAAATCTCTCACTTCTGCAATCTTCCTAAGGAAGATATGAGAGTGACTCTGTCTAACAGTTAAGGATGATTCCCCATGCTTAACAACACAGATGGTTCTGTGGGGTTCTGCTCACAGGGCATTGATGGTTCTGCATTCCTTAGGGTATTCAAACTATTCTTAGTATACCTTAAGAATTTCCCCTCTGTGGGCTTGAGTTCGCACACCTTGGAACAAATTTTTCAACATTCTGAGATCTCAAAAATAGAAATGAGGTTTGCCCTATCATCAACTTAGAGTAAAACACATAATTTCCTGAAAAGCCTGAAGAGTAAAAGAGAAAATATTTAAACTAACATTTTGCCTGGCATGCTGATCCCTTATGAGGATCTATCTTTTACATGGGTCCAGCTCTTTGTATAAGCACCAGTGTGTAAATTTCACATTCTTAGAATACAACTCATCACTTTCTCTATGTTGACTCTTGCAGAGATCTTCTGAGGACTAATATTAGGTGAAGATATATCACACAATCCAGAGATCCTTAAGACAGATGTGTTCTTAGTGGGAAAGTCATGGATCTAAGCTTTCTACTTAAGAAACAGAATTATCCTCATGTATTTCTTGTTCTTTATTCTTCTAAAAGAAATGTCAGAAAGTAAGCCTAGGGTCTTTTGAAATTATCTGCCTTTGAATGTATGGATAATCATGTTGTCACCAAACTTTGTCTTTCATCCTTGGTGGTTTTTTTCTTTGTATCAGGGATTGAACTCACAACCTTACACTTGCTAGGCAGGCGCTTATGCCTGCTGAGCTAAACCCCCGGCTCTTGTCTTTCATTCTTTAATTCTTACCTGTTGATCCCTTTCATATATTTATTGGTCTGGTTATGATTTGTAATACAGCTAACCCACACTCAGACAGCATCTCTGAGATCCTCAGGGACCAAGAAGTCTGCCTCTAGTGACCTGCAGTTAAACAGGAACCCTTGATGTGCCTCTTATGGACTGGAAAGCTGTGCTCAGTGACTTGCCCACACCTGGACACCAACTCTGAGACCTCCAGAGACCAGGATTCTACACCCAGGGGCCCGCAGTCATCTGGGAACCTTTGGTGAGACTTATGGGTTACTGGCAGCTGTGCTCAGTGAAATGCCCACACCTGGACACCATCTCTGAGACCCACAGGGACTGAGATTCTGCACCCAAAGAACCACAGTCACCCAGGAATACTCAGTGAGGAACTTGAGTCCTGGCAACCTGAAGCTGCACTCAGGAGCTTGCTCACACTCAGACCCAATCTCTGAGGCCTAGGAGGACCAGGTGTCTGCATCCAGAAACCCTTGGTGAGGCTCCTGGGGACTGAGAAGCTGCACCTAGTGACTTGCCCACACCTGAACACCATCTCATCAGATAGCCTACAAGGACTGAGAGTCTGTGCCCAGCAAACTGGTCATCCAGGAACATTTGGTGAGTTCTACTAGGACTGTGAAGCTGCACCTAGTGACCCACACACACCTAGGAACCCTTTGTGAAGCCTCTGGGGATTGGACAGCTGCACGCAGTGATTGAGCCACATCCAGAAACCCTTGGAGAGGCTCGCAGGGACAGCAGCTGTGCCATGCAACCCACCTACAGCCAGAAACCATCTCTGAGGTGCACAGGGATTGGCAGTCTGTGTTCTGTGACTCACAGTAATCTGGGAATCCATGGTGAGGCCTGCTAGGACTTAGAGTCTGTGCTAATGTTGCATATACACCTGGTAACTATCTCTGAAGAACACAGAATACATGGAACAGATTCAAATAGATATTTAGGAAATAAAAAATTCCAATAAAGGCTGGCAAATCCTTGAATGAAACAGAAGATAGACACTCACACCTTGAAAACATCGTTGGGATTGGTGATCATGAAAGGAAACAGCTCTTAAAAAGAACAAGGAAATAACAGTTGAACAGCTGGAAATGATGCAAAGAGAGACAATATAAGGATGATAGGTGTCAATGAAAAAGGAGACAGCAAAAATGACATAAAAAGACTATTTGCAGATGTAACAGCAGAAAATTTCCCCAACATAAGAAAAGAAACTGACATTCAAATAAGAAAGGTATGTTGATCTCCAATTAGCCATCACCAAAATAATCTACAGCCAGATATATAAAAATCAACATCCCAGAAATTCAGCATAAGAACACAATATTAAAAGCTGCCAGAGAAAAGAAACAGATCACCTATAAAGGGAAGCCTATCAGAATCATAGCAGACTTCTCAACACAAACCATCAAGTCAAGAAGAGCATGCAGTAAAGTACTTCAAATACTGAAAGAAAATGACTTTCGATCTAGATTGTTAAAACTTACAAAACTGTCATTCAAAATCAATGGAGAAATAAGGTACTTTCAAGAAAATGAAGAACTTCATGACAATCCAATCAGTTGATACAGCACAGAGCATGGGAATATTTTTGAAAGCTGGGCATGGTGGCCTGGCACCGGCCTGTTATTCTAGTACTTGAGAGGCTGAGACAGGAGGATTCTGGCAAGTTAAGAGGCTCGCCTGGACTACTTAGTGAGATACTGTTTCAGAAAAATAAATGGTTGTAAAGCACATGAACCTACCTTTCTCCCAGCTGCTGTCCCGTGTAAGCCACTCCTATTCCCATTCATGTCACCACCACACAAAATGTAAAATTTGCCTTGTAGTAGCTGGAGTACACACAAGGTAACTGATTACTTCCTAGATGGAGCAGACTCAGGATCCCCCAGGCAGGAGTAAAGTGTAGAGACGGGCTTCTACGGCGTGCCACCACCCCTTGAGGGCAACTCCCTTCTTATCGAGAAACTCATTGTGCATGACCTTAGAGTGCCTCAGTTTATGCACTGGACTTGAAAGTGCTGGTGCAGGTGCACAGGTCCTTTTCAATCTCAGCTTCAGGTGGAAATTCTCTCTCGATTTCATGAGAGGTCAAACTACGTGGTAAAAGCAGTTCAAAATGTGTGGCTCAGTGTATCAATTCTGAGCTGCACCTTGTTAGGCCTGGCTTATGCTCCCACCTGCACACTCTGATGCACAGTGCAAGCAGTTTCACCTAAATTACCTCCCACTGAGTGATAGGTGGTTTCCTATGACTGCATACTTCCTTTGTCAGGTAATTTGCACTGCATTTCTATCACCTCAAACCACTTTCCTCCCTACTTATCTTCCCTTTTCAATCATCCTTTTAGTGTCACATTGTGTGCCACCTTTTTTCTTTTATGACAGGTGCTTACAGACCTTAAGTGTCTGGTCAGCTATCACAACTCTTTTGTATATTTCTTTCAATAAGATCATGAAACTTATTAAGAGCAGATGCTGCCCTGATGCTGAAGAATGTGCTGATGACGTTAGGCATCTAATTTATTACAACTAAGTTCTCATTATTGAATAAGCCAGACACACACACACAAACACAGTAACTAGTTTTTAATTATATGAAATAAAGTGAAAACAGATTACAAAACTAAATATTAACCACCCAAAACTTTTTCTAATTCTCCATTCCATGTATTTTTCTGCTATTCTTCACACTCTAAAAGAAATGCTTATTTCTATTGATATTATTTTTTTAACCATATCAGTAAAGATAATGAATATTTTTATAATGTTTGTATAAAAAAACGAAACTTTGAAACAGGTGAAAAAAGTGCAGGAAAAAGCTTTCATATGCTTAGATTATAATGTAAACAATATGAAAGATGATATAAATATAAATTTATATATATAAATAAATACAAATCAATCTCCTAACCACTTAAGTAAAATAGGAATACAAAATAGTGCTACACTGTGTCACTTGCAAATATTGCTGTCCTTCACTGCCTGAAACATTGCCTGGTTTGTTCAATTACAAACTTCAGGATAAGAGGAATCTTCTTCTTCGTCAACTTCAATAATTGTAGGAAGAATTGTTATCCCTGGACTTGAACATACCCTCTCTGTGACATTAGTGCTATCACTGCCTGTAGCTACTGCCTCAGTATTCTCTTTTTCATCTCCCACAGCCTCTTCATACTTGGACTGGAAGGTACTGGGGTCGGTATCATTGATCTTGGCCCAATACTCCAGGACTTTCATCTTGCTGGTCTCAGCATAGGCTCTTGGACCCCACAGGAATTCCCATTGAGGAGGGTCACTGTCGGGCACCTGGCGGTATTCCAGGTATTTCAGCTTCACTAGATCTTTTGTGATGAGCTTCCTGGGCTCCCCGAATAGGAAGTGTTTCTTTCCGTCATATATTTTCATCTTATTCAGAAATTCCCAGATGCTCTCTTCAGTGGCAGAGTTTCCCTTCATGAAGATCACTCCCAGAATGTGCATCAGCAGACCGGTCTTGGGAAATCCCTTGCCACGACTCAGCACCCCATTATAGGGGAGATTCATTTTGCTGACAAGAGAATATGAGTTCTGTTTGTCATCTACTTCCTTTAATTCCATGCCAAATACTGCCTCTATGTTGAAAGAAGCTTTTACTAGGAGTTGTGGGAAATGTTTCTTATACTTTTTACCAATAATCTTCAGCATATCTTTTTTCATAATGGGCTTTTTCATGTTGTACATTTCAATGATGTGATTCACCAAATTGCTGGCCATACTGGCTACAGACATTTTTTTGTTCTTAGTTTTGAGTTTTGCTCCTTTTTCTGATCCTAGATTTGGTGTATCAGTAGCTTTAGCGGTAGAACCTTCTATCTGCAATTCCTCTGGAGGGCTTTGTAACTGAGAAAGAGAATCTGCGTGAGTGATATCCTCCAATGGAGGTGGAGATGAAGAGTGTAATATTTTCTCGGTAGTAGTAGCCTGAGCTTCCTCAATTTCCTGGTTCTCCTCTTCGACTGGGCAGAGTTTCTTAGGAGCATAAGTCTTTCTCCTTTGCTTCGGAGGCATGATGAATGTGAAGGAAAGCTGGTGATCCAGGCACCTGGGAGAGAAAGCATGACAGGGCATAAGAACCTCTGGCTCAGAGATACCTGCTTGGATTAGTGAAGACCCTTCTGCAGCTTTACCTTTCACTACTACTGTAGGGAGCCACAAGTTAGTTGTGCACATCAGCCCGTCCTCAGAAAACCCAGTGAATATAATAAATTTGCCCCAGGCTACTACTGAACAGTCCTTCCTCTGTGCACTGACGGTGAAAACAGATGTGGCAAGTCTCATTCTTGGAGCTGGGGTAGATAGAAAATCTCTTGTCACATTATTGGCCATAAAATCATATTTTAACATTATCTGGGTTCATTCACATGCACAGCAATATTTTTTGGCACCTCCAAGCTAAGTTCTCCTTCCTTTGAAACATCTTAGAGGAGTTTAAAATTGCTTCAGTGTATCAGCCTAAGCAGAGTGGGGTGAGGGGCACTAGCCTAAAAGCTGTGGGCAGTCTTCATGGACATGGGAATGTTGATGTTCTTAGTCTTAATTCATGGTCCTTCCTGTGGGGCCAGATATCACCTGGTAGAACCAACCACATGCAGAGCTGATGGCCCACACCACATTAATTAACATCATTAAAAACTATTGGTTTCTCATACATGTGACCCCCACTGTTCAGTTTCTCAGTGGTACAAGATTTGGGCAGCTCTCTATTCTTTCTCTCTTTTTTGACAGGTGACTTGTTCAAGTGGTCCTTATTAAGCACAATCACAGAATCTCTTAAGGGATCTGTGATCCTACTTTTGCATATTTGGAGCAGACAATTTTTTGAGCCATTCTGTGACTGTCTGAGTGAAAAGGTGGGCAACACAGACTGACAGATTTACTTGGTATTCCTGGAGCCCAGAGAAGTGCAAATATATATGGCAACCCCTGTTTTACAGTTGGTGTTTTTCCCTAGTCTCAGGCAAGTTTCTGACCTTGCCATCTCCTAATAGTATGTTATTGTTCAATAGTGTCAGGTATGTCTTGGTAATTATATATGACATTGAAAACTATTATCTTAATGCTGGTTGAAAAAATTAGCCTACACTTTAAGGGACAAACAAGTTCTAGGCTAGACACTTCCAAGGAATGTATTTTGTGAGCTACACTTATAATCTTTTTTTTTTCTATCGGTACCAGGGATCAAACTCACGATTGCCTGCTTGCAAGGCAGGCGCTTATGCCGCTGAGCTAAATCCCCAGGCCCTACACTTATAATCTTAAACTATCCATTAGACACATTATTAAAAGAGAAACATATGAATGATTTTACAATATTTCTTATTTATTACATATTTTAGACTTCTGACTTTTTAATGCAATGTCTGAAACAAGAAATATACTTTATCCTCATAGTATATTTAAGGTCAAAACAGCTATACTTCAAGTGTTTAATAACACATCACTTGGGACGTTAGTATTGTATACTCTAAGATCCAGAATATTATTCTGAATATTATTTGATTTCAGTCAAAAAACAAAAGTTGAATTAAAATTTCATCTTTTTGAAGACTGCTTAATTTGTCAACTCAAAGAAGTTTGTATAGGTGTGTAGAATATGGATTTCTGGAATGAACAATCCTCATTTGAAAATTAATTAGGATAAAGAAAAACAACATATTTCTTTTCATTTCACATTATAGGGTGTGCCATTTGGTTAGTAAGTTTTACAAACTATTCCAGAAGAACATCAAAATTTTTCTAGAAATATACAAATCTCATTTCATCCCTTACGTTTGCATAACTTGGTACTCGTGTTAGAAATTTTAAAAAGACAAAGTGCATACACCACTAAAATGTAAAAAGACATAATTTTTCTTAGTGTATTTTATAGTATAAAACTTTTTTGGCACAGTATATTAGTATGTATCACATCACTGAATAAGTAGGTTTGGTAGGAACCTGGGGTGAGATGGTACATTTTATATTATTTTACTATTTTCTTAAGGCATTGACCATCTGTTCCACAAGATAAAATATAAAGAGTGCAAGAATTCAGAGAACACTAGACCTAATTATTTCTTTATACCTCTTAAAGATGGCAAAACTTTCAAAGACTGAGTAATGTTCTGAGAGGTGAGTTAATTTGGTCAGGAAGTAATTATGTGGAGCCATTGCACTGTGCTTCCATTTGGCAAGTTCTTCCATATCTGTACCCAAGGAGCCTTAAGCTGCTAAGTTATTCATGGTTTTATGTGCAGTCTCCATTTTGTGAGTTTAGACTTCCTGCTATTTGCCATGTGTCAGATGAATGACATGGAGACATTCTGAAAATATGAAAACTGGGAGAAAAGTATGGCAGGAGATGAGAGGAGGGCCTAAACCACTAGCATAGGCATAAAAATGAGCTCCCAACTGATACTCTTCAAGAGTGGATTAAACTTTACAATATTGCCATGTACTTTATTTCTGCTCTGTGACCAAAACTTAAACTGAATTTTACAATGTTATAAAGATCAATAATATACTTTATCTCAGTCTTACTCTATACGAACTCCTTCCAGTCCAGATGCAACAGGAGAGAGCAGGTCTGTGTCACACCAGAAAGTACAACAGCAATGGAAACAGTTCAAATACACAAAAGAAAGAGTTTAAGACATTGGGGATACAGGAAAGCATGACAATGATCACTGGGGTAAGTGCAAAATGAAAATGGAACTGTGTTTATCCCAAATAGAATGTAAAATATAAAATCCCACGTCCTGCATGCTAAAAGAGATCTGAGGCACAAGAAATGTAATGAAAAATATAAGACATTTTATACTCAAATCGCTCAGATTCTGTGAGAAAATCTTCAGAAAAAAGATGAAAGATACTTAAGAGAAACAAAGTTTGAAAATGATAGTAGTTTCTTTATCAGAAAGAAATACAAGCTTGGGCATGGAATTACTCCTATAATTACAGCACTTGGGAGGCTGAGGCGGGAGGGTCTTTGCAAGTTCAACACCAGCCTGGGATACAAAGTGAGCCCAAGGTCAGCCTGAACTGCATCACAAGACCCTTTCTTAAAAAGACATTTTTTAAAAAGGCAATATAAAGTAAAATAGCATGTTAATAACCATAAATTAATGAGATAAAAGCTTAATAATGAATTCAGAATCCAGTGAATATATCTCTAAACTAAAGGCAATGCAGTTTTCAAAAACATAAAACCTAACAGGATTCAACACCACTTGAGATTTATGTTACAAATATTTTAGAAAGTGTGACGAAATTTGGAGGCTGAGCAAGAGGACTGTAATTTCTAGGCTGGCCTGGCCAATTTAGTGAGAAACTACCATAAAAACTTTTTATTTAAAAAAGTTAAGAGAAAGTAGAATCCTGCATTCAAACTCCACTACTAGAAAATGTTAAAGAACAAATGTTGAATTAAAATATTTGAAAATATTCCCAAAACCGAGAGAAAAGAAATGGAAATATATTCCAATGTCCCCTCTATTAGATTACGCCCTGTTCCGATAAGTACTGCCAGACTGTTCTTATTACCTGAGAACATGCTCATCTGATGAGCTCACACAAGCCATGTCTTGAAAACAAATCATTTAATGTGAACAAAAGGTGACTGAAAGTGGCATTTTGAATACAGACATAAATTATTTTTCTCTGTTCCTTGAAGCAAGCACTTGTATCGTATTAAAGAAAAACAAGCTACAAAACTCTGGAAGATTTGGATGAAATTCAGAAAGGTGGGCAAGCATGAGGACAATACAACATGTTGAGAAAAGACAAAAGATGGCAGTAGAGCAAAGTAGACTGCTTGCACACATTGACGCATTGCATACGTGGGTATGAACTAAGATTTTCCCTAGTGGTGGAATCAAGGCCTGGTGACCCGCGCCTGTAATCCCAGCACTGGGGAGGCTGAGGCAGGAAGATTTCTGTGAGCTCAAGACCAGCCTGAGATACAAAGCAAGCTCAAGGCCAACTTGAACTGTATAGTGAGACCCTATCTCAAAAAGACAAAGTAAAAAAATTTTCCCTGGTGTGAGAAACTGAAAGAGTAAATGAGGTCCAAAATGTAAACAGATACTGTAAAATGGAAGAAATCATTCAAAATGAAAAAGGAATTAGGATAGGAGAAAGGAGAAAGGAAGGAGAGGAAAAGAAAAAAATATAAGATAATTATATTAGTGCTTTCTATTACTTCACCGAAAGGAAAAGTTTATGCTAACATCTTTTGGAGAAATTTTTATGCCTAAGCTTGTACACAGATTAACTACTTTACACATAACAATATTCAAAGTATTAACTACTGTTATTCTCTTATTATTTTGTTATAAAATTGTTTTACTTTTTTTCCATAAAATACAAAAAAAAAAAAAAAAAAAAAAAAAGATCTTCAAAAGAAGAAGCCACAGTTGACAGAAACTCCCCCAAGGTCTTACATCCAAAAAGTTACCAGGTACCAGGAGTTGCAGAGATCTCTATGCCTCAGGAGAGTTTGAAATGGCAAGAGAGAAGAGAGAGGCATGGATTGGTGTCAGCTAGAAGAAGCTTGTGAGAAGACTCATGAGGATCACGAGTTAAAGACAGTCGAGCCACACCTGTTCTGAAAAGAGAGACTAGGTGTGTGGATAGGACAGTGTGTACCCATGTGTGTTCACGTGGGGCTTGGAGGAGCAGAGACAGAATGCAAAATAAAAGATGAGATGGCAAGGTTCACCAGGGATGCAGGTTTAGGCCACATCACTACGGTGCTGGAAAATTTGGGAGGAAGTAGTCTGAGCATCTTTGAGAAGTAGGGTCTCATCTTAGGCCCTGTGGGTCTTTGCATGAGTGCAGAGCTTACCCCTTTATCCAACAAGTGTAACAGTGCTGGTCAGAGCAGCAGACAGGAATGTGGGTGTGATGACAGGAGATCAGGTTACCTGGAGCTGGGACAAAGAGATAATGTGAGCACCTTCAAAAGGAACAGATGATGGTGCTTTTAAACATGGCTTCCCCACTGGATTCCATGAGGGTACTGTTTTGGGAATCCACACATTCCTAAAGATTCTCTTGGTCATTCTGTCCCACAATAATGTACAAATGATCCTATTAAACATACAGAATGATTCTTACTCTACATCCTTTCATTTCCACCTTGGCCTAAATAGGGTAGTAGTACATGCTGCCAGCCTGGCAGTAATAACCTAATGCCTTCTGTTGTTTGACATCATCTACATATTTCAAATAATCACCATCACACCTGCAGTACCTGAGCCACTTCCTATTGCTGTTCTAAAACTGACAGCTCAAAGCTTCTAGGTACATAGAGAAGAAACTTAAAAGGAATCTTCAGTTGATTGCTCTGCCAAATGACAGACAATGGGGAGAATTCAGGGTGTTTATTCTGTCTTGTGCACGGTCCTCTTGAAGCCCTATAGTTTTAGTTCCATATAAGGCTTGACAGCAAATCTTCTGTGGTGCATAAAATTAGTCTAAAATGCTTATCTCCTTTTAGAACCAAAAATGAAGAGAGATTGATACAGAAGGTCTAATGGAACTATTGAGGAATTTATTGACACCCTGTCTCTAAAACAAAAGAAAATAAATGTGCTGGGCTCTGGCTTAAATCCAGAAGTTTGCACATAAAAAAAAAATAAAACAAATATGTGAGTTGGGGAATGCATATGCGAGCCGGGGGATTAAAAGACATGGAGAGACAGAGAGACAGAGACAGAATATGCCAACCTGATAGTCCTTTCTGTCCCATTAATTTAGTTTCATGAATTTTGAGAATCAGGGGAGACTCCTAATAAAATCTAAAAAAAAATTGAGAATGGAATCCAGGGTAGCCTCCTGGATTCAACTCTTATATTGATCCGGAAAAAAAAGTTAAGAAGAAAAGAAAAAAAAAAAAAATGAGACCTAGGTCTCTTCTGCATGCAGTATCAGGCTGCTTCCTTTGAGCAAGGCTGTCATGTCTGACTCTTTCTAACAAAATCTTCACCCACGCCCCCATCAGGGCACGAGGTGCCTCTTGATGTGCGGAACGCACCCCCCTCAACTCCTTCTCGCCTCCCTGCTCACCATTTCTTCTCCACACAGTCGATTTGAACTCACAGTTTTAACCCTGAAGTTCATCCATACCCATTCCATTTTGCATTCCGAAGAAGAGCCTTGCTAAACACTTATTTACCCCTCCTGACTTATGAAACTGTCCTCCGGTCTCTGCCGCTGAGTTTTAAGGCTTAGTCCCTAAGGACACCAAACCAGGCTGGAGCCACTCTGAGAGGAATAATGTCATCAGTACAAAGAGAAGAACTCAAATTTGACCCCAGACTAACCTTAGGAATTCACCTTGAACTGCAGAAAGCCGATCACCTAGTAGTCCGCTGTGCAGACTAGCAGTTGATAACGGAAGTGCGGAAGTGGGGTGGTCCTCATCCGGGCACACATATCCAGGGTCTCCAAGGCCACCAATAGGGGCGGCTCCTTAAAGGGACCGCACTGTTCTGGAGTCACTCAGCTCTCCCTAAGTCCCTGCATTCTTGATATCTAGCAGAGTCTGGAATTGCTTCTTTCACACATGTGAGTCACACACCCTCTAATCCAAGTCCATATTTCTTTCAGACACTAAAGATATCCTTGCATACCCACAAGCTCCCTCTACCAGAACATCAAAACAGGCAGAGCAGGGGCAGGACTTCAGGAGTCTCCATGTTTGGCACCTCAGCTCTGAGTAGACTGAGTCTTCACTGCAAATGTGGTTTTACCCAAAGCCCTCTTTCTGCCAAATAGGACCCCCCCCCCAGGCTGATACTGTGTATTCTAAGACTTCCACATGGAAATACAACCTTTGGCCTGGTGCTCTGACAGAAGCCTCAAAGTGGGACATCTTTTTCTGTGAGGATCTTTCTGCTAGCAGGCATCATCTCATAATACCTGGATTCCTCTTTTTGATTCTTGGTTGACTGTAGGTCTCTTCCTCGGGTAAATTCAAACTATCGCTACTAGACCAGGTCCTCATGACCAGGTGTCCTTTCAGGTTTACAATTTGTGCTTAGAGCCTTCTAGGACAGATGAAATGGGCACTTTTGAGGTATGCTTTGTTTTGATTCCTGTCTAATGACAGCTGCATTTAGTCCACATTTAAGAGCTCACTAGAAAAATGATGAGTCTTGCGACTTAGCATCTTACTTATCTGAACCTGCTCCTTCTATGCTGACTTCTTGCCTCCCTGAGCATTCCAAGTTGCAAGTCAGGTCTTTCTGTGACCACAATCTTTTAGGACTTACAAGAATAGACAGCTAGGAGTGGACACTACTGAATCAAATGCTCTGACTGGAGTCGTCTGTGATTTCTCATTGCCAGCCCTGACATTTATAGCTGTTACAACTTGATAACCTTCTTCCTGTGAAACTGAAGCCACTCTCCCAAATGCTCTGCATGAATCCTACATTTGCTAGTGTTTGCTTCCCCTGTCAAAGCAGTCTTCTTGTTGATTTCTTCATTCTTTTTCCCTCTTCATTGAGGGATCTAGAGATTCCTTGTCTTACATAAAGTTGTCTGGATTGCTTTCAAACTTCAAAGAAGGGTCCTGTTACAGGACTGCTTTGATATTGAGAAACTGTAACAGGAGCAAGGAGCTGTGTCGCTCAACTGAGAAGTCTACTATTTTGTTCAAATTTACTTGGAAGTGATAGAGTCACCAGATAGTCAATATCTCCTGATTCATAACAAAATGTTAAGAGCAATCATCGGTTTAGAAATAAGAGGACCTTACTGAATACATTGAAAAAGTGAATGCAATAATAATTATTCCTTTCAGCACACAATTACTTTCCCCTCTAACTTTATTGTCTTTTGAAAGACAGATACATATATATCTCTAGTCAGTTGTGATTTCTGTGTGTATTTGTTGGATTCAATTTATATTTTCAAATAACTTTGAAAACCAGCTATAATGATATTTTTAAAACAGAAGATAAAGGTGAATTTTAAAAAGAAGAACCATGCTAATATGTGAAAATATATCACTGTCATGCTCTTATAAATAAATGTTTTGCCACCTACTATTTGTAGTAATATGATACATTTTTTCAATTTGTATAAACTCCTCCTTCTTTTATGTTTTATTTCCTATTTTTTTACACTAAAATATTGTTTTTTCTACCAACACAATTTTTGTTTTAACTTTGTCTGTGGGCTTTTGCTTTATGTGAAACAGTAGAGTTGAAGATAATTAGTGGTTATTTCTAGATGTTTTCAGGAAGCCGCTGGAGCTCGTAGGTAGTGCTCTTCAAAGGCATGATTTAGGGTGTGTGGATATGGACCCAGAGTGTGTGAATGTGTATTAAGGATGTGTGACAACTAAATTAGACCACTGACTCATTTAGCATAATATTGGAGGTGAATAATGGTGAAATTATCCTGTGTTTGGGGGTGATATCTAATAGGCTTGTGAACTGGATGTGATAAAAGAAAAAGAGAGACTCCATACCTCAGCTTGATGCCTCCCACTAGCTATACCAGGAACTGTTACTCCTCTGCCAGGCTCTTGTGCCTTGAAACCAGTTGAATAGGGACTGAAATCTCTACAAATGAATTGTGAGATAAAATAAACCTTATCTCCTTTAACATTTGTGTGTGGCTAGTATTGTGTCTCAGCAAAGAGAAAACTAACTAAAACTAACACAAAACAGAAAGTAAAAAAAAAAAGTAGAGAATGAACATATTTTATGCACATAAACCAACTTCCCAGGATGTATATACTCCTATGTATTGCAAAGAAGCACAAATGAAAATCATTAAAAATTAAAGTCAAATTAAAGTTTTCATCTACACAGTTAAAAAAGGGAAAAGGAGCATAAGGTAGATGATGCTTTATCAGTGTAACAATTCACTAATCTAATTTTCTTTGCAAATCTGAGGATGAAAATAGTTCTAAGAGTTTCAAATCTTGCGGGACTCCTTGTATTCTGCAGTGGACAGAGTCCTTTATGTTTACCTACAAGAGTGTCATGCTAAACCTTGACAGGAACTGGGCCTCCTCCTCTTTGGGCTATAGAAGTTGACACTTTAAAACTCTCTGGGATCACACAAGGGAAACACAGGAATGCCTGAGTGAATCAGCTCTGACTGGGAGCAGGAATTCTGATAGCTCAGCAGAGTCTTTGTCACACTCTTCTGCAGTCCTAACTCCTCCCTCAGCACCTCCATATCATTTACATAGAGCCAGTGGTCTCTCCCTTCTGCTAACTGCTAACTGGAACTTCAATCTTTTGACCTCCTCTCCTCTACACCTATGCATCATACTAGGCCTAAAACATGCTCACATACCGTGGACAGGATTGGGGACCCAATGTGGTGCAGACAATGCAGAGACCATGTAATTCAGACAACTTGCTGCTGTGCCAATACAATGCTCAAGATTTACTGATTTGGATGCCTAACAGCAAACCACATCAAAGACAGTTTAGAAGTTTTTTCACCATGTGATAGAGAAATTACCTTCTTTTCTATTCATTAAACATAGCTAGAAAACTTTCACCGAGCTGGGGATTTAGCTCAGTGGCATAAGTGCTTGCCTTGCAAGCAGGCGGTCGTGAGTTCGATCCCCAGTACCGATAAAAATGAAAAAGACAAAAAAAAAAAAAAAAAAAAAAAAGAATATATAAGGGGCTGGGGGTTTAGCTCACCGGCATAAGCACCTGCCTTGCAAGCAGGCGGTCGTGAGTTCGATCCCCAGTACCGATAAAAATGAAAAAGACAAAAAAAAAAAAAAAAAAAAAAAAAAAGAATATATAAGGGGCTGGGGGTTTAGCTCACCGGCATAAGCACCTGCCTTGCAAGCAGGCGGTCGTGAGTTCGATCCCCAGTACCGATAAAAATGAAAAAGACAAAAAAAAAAAAAACAAAAAAAACAAAAAAAAAACTTTCACCATGGAAACTAACACATGAAAGTTTATAGTAGCTTTTTTCGAATTTGTGGACAACTGGACAACATTCAAGATGTCCTGTACTATGAGAATGCAGCAGGCTGTCTCATACCCAGACAATGGAATTATGTTACCCAGTAAAAGCAAATTATCTCTCTAAACATGGAATGACATGGAGGATTTGCACATGCTTGTTGCTATGTGAAGGAGGCAATTTGAATGGCATATATACCAAATAATAGCTAGGGTGAGGTCAAGTAAGGCATAGATATAGAACTAACAGAATCAGTAGCTTCAGGGGCTTAAGCGAGACATAAATAGATGAGGCATAGAGATTTTTAGAGCAGTCAAACAATTATGTACGAATGTCTCAGTGAATTCATGTCTTTATAATTTGGGTAAATCAATCTCTGTACTACATAAAGAACTTACCCAAGTATAAACGATAAAACTCAGTTATGACATGCAAGAATGGGTTCGTTAGTTGTACATAATATACCACTCTGATGTGGGATCGTGATTTGAGAAGGTTGGTTGGGCATGTCGATATGAGAGAGGGTACCTATAGAAACTCTCAATACTTTCTGTTCAGTTTGGCTGTGAATTTAAAACAACTCAAAATAAAATTAATTTAGAATTTGGTATGATTACTCAATCTACTTATTGCTCTTGGATTTGTATGTTGACTGGATGTAGTCAGTGTCTGCTTTTGGTTCAGTTCCAATATGATGTTGCCTCCAAACTCTCTCAGTTTCCTTGATTTGACTCCTACTAGGGTCTGGCATTTCCCTCTTTGTGGACTTGAGAATTTTACCTCAAAATGCATTGGACTTCCCCAGAGTCCTTAAGTGAAATTGAAGTTCTCCTGATCTGACCTTAAGTGATGTAAAGATATCTCACACAGATGACTTTGACAAGATTGATTTTTTTACCAAGTGTTCTAACTCAGGATTCTATTTCTGACCATTAAGAGAGTGAGACTTTCCTTTCTTGGCAGTATATGGGCCAAGGAACATAGACAAAGTCCCACACTTCACTGATCATCCTGAGAAGGAGATGCTGATGCCTGTATCAGATCCTTGTGACTGAATCTCCCATGTGTGAACATAGGGATGAGTCTGAAGCATCTTCACACATCGTGGATTGACTTTTCAGCCTTCTTCCAGGTACTCATTCTGTTCCTGAGAGACATAATGAATTGCTCCTTTACAGGCAAGATTCAGCACAACTCAGACCAAGCTCTTTATCTTCCTGATAATTCCAGCATGAAAATGAGTTTCACCCACAGCCTTCCAAGCAAAGTTGAGAAATTGAGGATAGTGATTCTATGGACCAGTCAACCATGGGTACATACATCTATTTTTTAATTTGGGTTCTGAAACATGATATGTGTCAAAGACTCCCACTTGAATGTTGATGCTAATTTCCATGTGGTAAGAGAGGCCAATCTCTGAGACTCTTTATAAGTAAAGGAGGTGAATTTCAGGATGATTACTCTTCCTGGCATGCTGCTCCTCTATATGCAGGAGGTCTCTAATGAGAATATATATCTTG